ACTCACTCTTACAGCAATGAAAGAAATCTCTTATGATCTTGTTTACTAACACCTGACACACTGACACACACTATAGGGAGCCTCTGGCTCTTCTAAAACGCAACCCCTGATTACTGCACAAAAGAGAGTTGTGCAGACAATGACCTACTTGAAAAAACTGATCACACAAATGAACAATTTGCTAAATTGAAAATGCTAAAATTCAAGGATATTAACACCTACTGCTGTGCCCTATTTGTTTATAAATCTGTCAATCACTTACTTGACAACAATTATATCTAGTTCTGGAACAACAAAAAAGATACAACTTAAGGCACCCAGAGATATTAAGACCACCCCCAATGCATTCCTCTCAGTCCCAGACCTGCATAAATTATCATGGTGTGAAGATGTGGAACAACTTACCCCCACCCATTTGAGCAAAGACTACGCTCCCTTCCTTTAAATTATCTCTTAAAAAATATCTATTGTGTAAATATCAATATTTTTTGTAATACCTACTTTATATACCTGCCTTTATTGTACTGTACTACCAAAACCATTTTATCAAAAATTATCATGTTGATAGATAGAAATTACCATTGCAATAAATATATTTGCCAACTAGACATAATCCTGACTCAATTTCTGCCCCCTTAGGGTCTTCTGATCACAATCTTATTTTTATTAAATCAAGCTGGGCACAACCACCTCCCCATCACTCTCTAAGAGTTAACTATGGCATTATTGGAGGGCAAACTGGCAATCCTTGCAAGAATTCTTCTCCGACTTTCCTTGGGATGAATGTTGCTTTTCCATTTGGGATGCCTCGGTATGTGCCGACAGCATTGCTGGGGTTATACAGGGTGGTATGAGTGCATTTATCCCATCTTCTACCATAACTTTCACTTTACAATCATGATTTGATTGCTCCGGTTCTCTTGCATGTAGGGAGAGAAATAGGGCATATCAAGTTATGAAACTATCTCCTTCTCCTATTACCCACACCTATTTCATTACTTCTAGGAATCGTTGTAAGGCTATTCTTCTTAGGGCCAAGCGGAATTTTATAAAAAAAAAAAAAGACTGCTGTCCTGACCAACTCTTCTGTAAATCCTTCTGGTCCTTAACCAATAACATCTGTAATAATTTCTGCACTCCCTCTTTTACTCTTCTCTTCTGACCTGATAACTCAATAGTCAACTCTCCCCCTGATAAAGCTAATCTCTTTGGTACCTTTTCTCCTCTAACTCCACCTTAGACGATTCCAGTTCAATCCCTCGTACTCCTACTGAACCTATGCACTTGCCTATAATCTCCACTCATAAGGTTGCTCGTGTGTTATCCAGGTTGGATACGAGTAAGGCAAATGGACCAGACAGAATACCCCCCTCATGTTCCGCGGGAGTGTGCTGAAATTCTAGCCCCTGTGCTTGCTCGCCTTTGCCTCAAAACCCAAACTTTTCCTTCTTGGAAGCATGCCTTAGTTCAGCCCATCCTGAAGAAGGGAGACCATTCTAATCCCTCTATCGCCCCATTGCCCCACCCTCATCCCTCTCTAAGATTTTCGCAACTACCTGTATCTTAAACTCTCATTTTCTCCATCACCTTGAACGCTTTTCTCTTTAGTCGCATCACCAGTATGGCTTTCACCAGGCAAGATCTACTGGTGATCTGCTCTCCTACTGCACCCATCTTTGGTCATCCTTTCTTAAGGAATATGGGGAAACTTTCGTCGTGGCTCTCGACATCTCCAAAGCATTTGACAGGGTATGGCATAAGTCTTTGCTTTCTAAATTTCCCTTTTGGTTTCTCCCCCCACTTTGGTCTCTAATCTCTAGCTTCCTTGAGAACCGATCCTTGGCAGTTATTGTCGAGGGATCGATCTCTCGCTCTTTCTCTACCAATAGTAGTGTCCCACAGGGTTCTGATCTTTCATCTACTCTCTTCCTTCTATTTATCAATAATTTACTTCACACTACGACTAGTTCTATCCATTCTTACGCTGATGAGTCTACTCTTCACTCGTCTTCACATTTTTCCCTTCCCCCTAATTCTCAAACTAGATCTGTTTCTAGAGCTGATATCATTTCATCTATCAACACGGATCTGTGCAGCATCTCCGAATGGGGAGGTAGAAACTTGGTTAAATTCAATAGTAATAAAACACAGTATACAGTATTTACCAATTACATTTTCCAAATTAGATGATCTCCCACCAATCACATTTCAAGATGCAATCATTCTGCCAAGTTCTAAAATAGATATGCTAGGTCTCACCATTCCTTCTAATATGTCATGGAAGCCACACATCTACAACATTGTTAAAGCTGCCTCCCAAAAGCTGGGAATGCTGTACAGATGCCGTAGCTACTTCACTCCTGAGCAGTTGCTTCAAGTTTAAAAGGGATTCATTCTCCTAACTTGGAGTACAGTCGGCCTTAACATACGCGGGGGTTAGGTAACAGATACACCCGTGAATGTTAAGAATCCCCGTATTTTTGCTGCCCCCCCCCTAAAAACACCCCTGGCCCCCCATGTCCTTATTTACCGTATATACCTGTGCGTAGTTCGAGTTTTTAAGACCAAATCTTTTGGCAAAAAATTGGGGGTCGACCTCTAAACGGGTAATAGTTTCGTTAGGTTGAAAAATATTTACCAGTAACTACCAGTAAACAATGGAAACGACACACCACCAGCTGTGAGTTTCGGTACAGTTGCCAGGGCAGATCTCTTGCGTCATCATAGCAAGCCCAAAGTAGCCAAATGCATGGTATGGCAGCACAGGACGATGTAAAACATAAAGTATTCATTTATTAAAGTGTATTTATAGATACATAAATTTTGTTCATTACATTTGAAACATCAATCTTTGTTAATTAAATTTGAAACAAGAGAAAACTACGATACCGTATTTCTAAATACCAGGTATTTTCATTAAAATATTACATCACAAGTATATTTTACCTTAACTGTGACTGAATGAATATATTCTCAGAAATAAATATGGAAATGTAATATTTTTGCTGAAATGACGTACATATTACAGTGGAAAGTGGGATAAAATCATGACGAAAACAATGACTTTCGCTTTCTTTCGTTGTTCGAAAGATTTTACCGTAATCGCTTTTCGAATGGTATTCAGTTAAAAAACTGTCGTATTACAATAATATTCTATCCTAATTCACTTGAATAAATACTACGATACTATATTTCTGAATATTTTCATTAAAATCCATCAAAATCATTTTCCTTGTCATCGTCTTCAGCACCAAACAGCTCCTCCCAGTCTTCTCCTTGAACAGGGCTAGAGGGTACGTGTTTTTCGAATCTTTTTCAGTTAAAAAACTGTTACATCACACATATATTTTACCTAAACTGCGCCTGAATGAATATATTCTCAGAAATAAATAGTAGTTTTGCTGAAACGTGATGTATTTCAATGTAAAATAGGATAAAATACATGACGAAAACAAAAGACTTTACCTAAACTTCCGATGTTCAAGAGAAGTTACTTGTTTTTTAATAGTTTTTGGTTAAAATACTGTTATATTACAATGATATTCTATTCATACTGTGCTTGATATAATACATTCACGGAAATGTAATATTTTTGCTGAAATGACGTACGTATTACAGTGGAAAGTGGGATAAAATCATGACAAAAACAATGACTTTCGCTTTCTTTCGTTCAAAAGATGTTACCGTAATCGCTTTGCGAATGGTTTTCAGTTAAAAAACTGTTGCATCACAAGTGAATTAGGATAGAATATTAATGTAATACGACAGTTTTTTAACTGAAAACCATTCGCAAAGCGATTACGGTAACATCTTTTGAACGAAAGAAAGCGAAAGTCATTGCTTTCGTCACTTTCCACTGTAATACGTACGTCATTTCAGCAAAAATATTACATTTCCATATTCTCAGAAATAAATAGTAGTTTTGTTGAAACGCAATGTATTTCAATGTAAATTAGGATAAACTACATGAAAACAAAAGACTTTACCTAACCTTCCGATGTTCAAGATATGTTACTCGTTTTTTTAATAGTTTTCGGTTAAAATACTGTTATATTAGTGATATTCTATTCGTACTGTGCTTGATATAATACATTCACGGAAACGTAATATTTTTGCAACTACAATGCTGATGTCAACACAAGCGTGGTTACAGCGAGACTGACTGAGGGAACGCGGGGTGGCGCGGGCGATGTGTGTGTGTGTGTGTGTGTGTGTGTGTGTGTGTGTGTGTGTGTGTGTGTGTGTGTGTGTGCACTGTGTGGTGTCGCGCACGATTTGAATAATGTATATTCCTTTGAATGTATATTCCTACAGCGGCAATCCGTGTATTTGCAAATCCATGTATGTTAAGGGCCGACTGTACTACTCTCATATCTGGGATGGCTCTTTTTCTGTCCAACTATTAGATAGGGTGAAATCAAAGGCATTTTGCCTTATTGACTCTCCTCCTTAAGTTGATAATCTTTCTTCCCTTTCTCTTCGCCACAATGTTGCTTCTCTCTCTTTTACAGATACTTTAACGGGCAATGTTTGGTGGATTTGGCATCACGTGTACCGCCGGCAAACCGGTGGGCTCGTAACACTTGTCTTGCCTGCGGTGCCCACAATTTCTCTGTGGCTGTCGGTCACACTAGAATAGCCTGTTATAGTACATCCTTCTTTCCTCACACAGCCAAACTATGGAATGCTCTGCCTTCTTCTGTATTTCCACACTCATACAATGTCTCATTTTAAAAAGCTGGTTTTTTCGCATCTTCGTGGTGTAAATTAATATAACCCTTTTCTTTTCTAATTTTAATTTCTCTTTATTCTTATTTTTTGCCCCCAGGCCCTGATGTGGGCCGATGACCTGTGCCCGGGGGCTATTCTATGTGTAAAAAAAAAAAAAAAAAATTCTATTGTCTACAAAAAAAAAAGGAGAAAAATGTTTCAAGGAATCAAAATAGGGTTATCAATGATGAAATATCCTAAAATGGTATAAGCTTCTGAAAGACTTGAAACATATGACTGAAAAGGACAACATATTATAATTTACAATATTAGTAAACATACCTCAGCAATATTGTCAACATCCTCTTCATTGGCTATTTCATGGGAATCATCTGCCTCAAGACAATCTTCAGGAATGCACAATTCCTTCAGACCAGTACCACGGAGTCTTGCTATGGCAACAACATCACTGCCACCATATCCATAACCTAGACAACCAACCAATTTATTCAGTTTAAATATTTAAATATTCAATGATACTGGTACTGTATGTGGAAATGAGCAGATGTGTATTCAAATATATATTTCCATAAAAGAATTTTGGAACTTGTCTGTGAGCTTGTGAAATGGCCATATGCCAAATTTCACATAAATACTGAAATCATTTTAATTATTGTATTCAAAAACTGATGGATACAAGGACTGGCACATGAACAGAAAATATGAATTGCTAATTCCCATTCTCAGGAATATGGGAAACAAATAAAGATGACCCATGGTGACAACCAACACCATATGACAGAGGTTTATATTTTATACAGGTAATTGTCTAATATGACAAGTACAGTAATACCCTGGTTAGCGCTACCCCTTAGAGCACTGCTTGCATCTTGGAGCACTAGTTTTACTTAAAAAAAAAGAAGTAAAGTTCAAACACTCGCAAAAAGCAGCTCTCTTTGTTTATACATATTTTAAAGAGTACCCATGACTACAGTTGATTGTACAATAGCAAGTCTACGGACTTGGCGCACCCACATTCAACCACAACAAATTATTAAATGTTTTATAGTTTTATATTTAATATTTAACTGTACCGTATATCTCGGCTTATAAGACGGAATTTGAACATTAAAAAAACTGCCCAAAGTTAGGGGGTCGTCTTAATCACCAGGTATAAAATTCTTACCTCTTAAATACTGTGGTTTAGTGTGTCAAGAGTGGTGATGGAAACATCGTAAGCCACTCACAAGGGCCTACCACTAATTATTTTATACTGAAACTTACGTTTGGCAAGCTGGATTCAAATTAAGATTACCGGTATATTAAAATAATAAAAATGTATTATAAACCTGTCTAACATACCGTAAAAGAACAATATACCCCTGTAATAAACACAGCTATCATCACACACCCCTCCCCACGCCCCCCCCCCCATTTGCCAGTGAGTAGACAAGAAAGGGAAAGTGACCGCGAGATTGGGCTATTTTTAGCCGTTGAGGTAGTCAGTAATGCATATCGGTATATTTACTGATAATAATAATTATCTCCTATAAATAATTAATTTAAAATTTATTTTTTTACAAAGAATATTCAGTAAATGACTGCGTTAATTCTTGAAACTACCGACAGTTAAATACAGACGCTTAAGTGACGTCACAAAAATTACCAGCAGATCTTAACTGTAAAATTGTTAATTTCCATCGCTACATAATACAACAACGTAAGAAACATTGTTATCCATTAAGCAACATCAGGAACATGGATGAAACGCCAATGAACTTCGACATGGTCGGTAATCATACTGTTGATACAAAGGGTGCAAAAACAGTGTTAGTGAAAACAACAGGACACGAGAAGACACGGTTTACAGTAGTACTTTCATGCATGGCAGACGGAACCAAGTTGAACCCAATGCTAATTCTCAAAAGGAAAACAATGCCCAAAATCAAGTTCCCGGCTGGAGTTTTTGTTCACGTCAACGAGAAAGGGTGGATGGACGAACAAGGAATAAAGTTATGGATTGATCATATATGGTGTTGGCGACCTGGTGGCTTTCGAAAACAGCGTAGCCTCTTAGTATGGGATATGTTCGCGAGTCATTTAACAGAGGGAACAAAAACCAGCATGACGAGGAACAACAGTGACATTGCAGTTATTCCTGGTGGATTAACTTCAGTTGTACAACCACTTGATGTTAGACAAACCATTCAAGGACCGCGTTCGTGAACAATGGAACAAGTGGATGATCAGCGGCAAAAAGTCTTACACGAAAGGTGGGAATATGCGTACTCCAGAACTGGATGTACTGTGTTATTTTATTATCAAGGCATGGGATGATATTAATGTGGAAACAGTTATCAAGTCTTTTAAAAAGTGCGGAATATCTAATTCAATGGATGGTATGGAGGATGATATGTTGTGGGAGGACGAGGATGAAACAGAAGCCGAAGCCACGTCATCTGATTTGGAGTTTGATCCTTATGATGAAGCAGCCATAAATGTATCTCAGGATGTACTTGAAGAACTTATGATATCAGATGTTGATGATGTGGATTTTGAAGGTTTTTAATACATGATGACGTTAGTAATAATCATGTGCTAATAACATTTTTAACTTGTCGGGTAATTTGCTTTTAAAATATTGTGAATTAGTAAATTAAATGTGTGCATGTGTATATATGTATACATACAGTATATATAAATATGTTTGTGTGATAAATGTATGTAGTAAGTACGTAATATTTTTTCACTCAAATCCTAATGAAACACTACTGGAGAACATTCCTTTGTCGCAAAACAAGTTTATAAATTAAAGAAAATAATTACAGTGTGTTTAATATATTACAGTACATTATAAATAAATAAATAAACAAATAATTCGGTAAATCTATTTCAAGTAAATGGAAAATAAGCAAACAAATGTTATTTACCAAGACCCTTCCCTCTAGCTCAGGGTGAGATGGAGGGGAGATAAGGAAGGCTATTTATAGCCCGTCTTTGTGTCTGAAGTGACCAGTACCCTAATGCACATAGATAATTCATTTAACATTTATTTTTTGTACATAGAATATTCAGTACATGACTGCAATTATAAAATAGTGTGAATGAGTATATTAAATATATAAATATATATATATATATATATATATATATATATATATATATATATATATATATATATATATATATATATATATATATATATATATATATATATATATATATATATATATATATATATATATATATATATATATATATATATATATATATATATATATATATATATATATATATATATATATATATATATATATATATATATATATATATATATATATATATATATATTTATATATATGCTGATAACCACAAGGAAAGAAGAAAACACGAAGTTCCCAAGCGCTTTCGTGTAATTCACATCTTCAGGGGTGAGTACAGACTAGAGAGAGTAATACAAATCAAGGTGTATATATACAGAGGAGGGTGAGACCAGGTCCACAATGGTCAGGTATTAGGTAATGACCCTACTAATCTTTAAATAGCACACAACAGTTGGTGGTCAGGTCAGATGGTCAAGTGACCCGGCCTTCTCACCTGATCACAAATCTTCTTAATTACAAAATTGTCCAGCTTGTACATGCCGTTACTCAAATTCATGTTGAATGCTTCGGTATGTTTAATAAGACTAGATTCTATGATGTTCCTACTATCAATTGAATTACATGGTAATATTGAGGAGGCATTATCCCAGTCAATGCAATGCTTGTTATCCCTCAAATGAACAAACAGAGCATTGGATTCCTGGCCTGTCCTAACACTGTATTTGTGTTGTTTAATTCTAGTTGCAAGATCTTTACCTGTCTGGCCTAAGTAAAACATATTACATTCCTTGCAAGGAACTTTATAAATGCAACCAATTGTGTTGTTGGGGGAGTTCTTGATTAACATTTGTTTAACAGTGCATGAGTTTTTAAATGCCACATTGACGTTCCAGGTTTTTAGCTGTGCAGGAATGTGTGAGAAATTTTTGTGAAATGGTAAATATTAAGGTATTCTTATGGTCATGGGTGGGCTTGGGAACTTCGTGTTTTCTTCTTTCCTTGTGGTTATCAGCATATACCTAGATCACGCGCACCTACAGTGATTTACTTGCATATATATATATATATATATATATATATATATATATATATATATATATATATATATATATATATATATATATATATATATATATATATATATATATATATATATATATATATATATTATATATATATATATATATATATATATATATATATATATATATATATATATATATATATATATATATATATATATATATATATATATATACATATATATATATATATACAGTGGGGTATGCTATAACGAACGGATCCTACTACGAATATTCCTATAACGAACGGTTTTACCTATAAAATTGAGAATGCTATAACGAACGAAACTCCTACAACGAACATTATTTAAAATTTTTATTTATTTTTTAATAATTTATTGTTTTTTATTACAAGTATTAATGATATTCTTTATTTCAGGGGTTTAGATGCATATTTATGTACTTTTTTACAATTTTATTATATTTTTCAGTGTTAAGTGGTTGTATTTGGGGGCCCGGAACGGATTAAACCTATAACGAACGAATGCTATAACGAACAAGGTTCTAGAACCAATTAGATTCGTTATAGCATGCCCCACTGTATATATATACAGTGGCCCCTCGGTTAACGAACTCAATCCGTTCCAGAAGGTCGTTCGTTAACCGAAACGTTCGTTAACCGAAACCATTGTTTCAATGGGTTTTTGGGTAATTGGTTCCAGCTCACCGAAAATTTCCTAAATTCAACAAAAATGGTAGAAAAGTTCACTTACTTTGAGGTGTGTATGTAGAAGGCTCCTGGATGATGATGATGATGATGGGATTTAGAATGGGGGTGGAGGAGAAGGAAGAAGAGAAGGCATTGGGGTGGAAGAGAAGTCACCCCATGGTGCCATTTCACCCATAAAATTTTAGCTCTCTGGTTTAATTCAAGATTATTTTCTTTAAATCAACGCTGCACTGCATTATATATTGTCAATATATAAAATATATTTCAAAATGACCAATAATTTGCTTGGAAACACAGAAAAAAAGCGTTTAGTTGAAGAGAGTCTCAAGCAAGATGTTACCTCCAGTGAAAACAGAGAGAGACTGACGCCTGTTTGCTGTGTTAAGAGGCTGGATGCCGCGCATTAAACTAGTCACTTTACCTTCAATTTTGTTCAATAATTGTTAAAATGACTAAAAAATTGAATATTAAACTTTTAAAATTATTGAATAGTATAAACTTCTTGATATTTACAAAAATAGTAAGGAATTTAAGCCCTAGAACCGATTAATGTATTGGCGGACTGATACTAAAGCTGGTTGCCCGGTCAGTGCAAGCGAAAACATGTTGAGGTCGGTTCGTAAGAAGTTCGTTAAGCGAATTTTTTTTCGTTAACCGAATTGAAGATCCTTATGGAAGGCAGTTCGTTAATCGAAATTACGTTAACCGAGGTGTTCGTTAAACGAGGGGTCACTGTATATATTTGTGTAATAAATGTATGTAGTAAGTACGTAATCTTTTTCACTCAAATCCTAATGAAACACCACAATTAGAATACGGTGGTAGCTGTTGTACAAACAGTCGGAACACAGTCCCACCACCGAGACGGGGGAACACTCCCACCACCGATCGTCTCGTGCGAAGCAAGCGTATAAATTAAAAAAAATACTTGCAGTGTGTTTAATATGTTACAGTATATTATAAATAAATAAATAAACAAATAAATCGGTAAATCCATTTCAAGTAAATGGAAAAATTTTACTCGACACCGACATTAGTTCCAGTTACCGGTAAATAGCAGACGCTTAAGTGACGTCACTAGTGTTTACACTACACCAGCGGGTAACATTTGATGACATTACATGAAGTGAATTGGCCTTATTTTAAAAAACCAAGGATGGTTGGTAGAGGACTACTGGGTCAGTGGGTAAGAGTCACATTTGGGGTATCGGTCTTATACAGCGAATAGAGCTCAAAAGCTACTTTTTAAATGGAAATTTGGGGGGCCGTCTTATGCACCCCGACGCCTTATAGGCCGAGATATCCGGTACTGTAGGTCTTATTGTATGACATAAAATTGTGTGCGGTTAACTGAAATACAAGTGTGTGGCAGTGGGTTGAATGTCAGCTGTTGAGGAGCACTTAGCAACACACCCAGTGCCTGTTACCACTCCTTTCCACTCCAGCTCTCAAATCACCACAACCTCTCTGCTTTCTCACCCAATACTGAATTTTAATATGCTATATATAACGTAATGTTGAGATACAACGTTGCTCATTTACATTTAATTTTTTGGATAGACATTAGCTGTTCAATAGTGTCTGGGACTGTTGCGGCAAGAGTTACCAAAGAAACCAATAGACGCATCACCACTTACGCAATCTCCTTCACCACCACCACCCCCCATCATCACCACTCCCTCTATTATCACCAGTGTTGCAGAGATGATTAGCTTCAGTCAGAGCACAGCTGTATGATATCCACTGCCTCCCGCCTCCCATCCACTGCATCTCACCAACACACTACCTCTCCCACTCATTCTTTGACTGTCATTTAAGATACAATGTTACACAGTACATTTTTTATTTGTTATTCGTTAAACAGTAAAAATATGTTTCTGTACTGTACCTGTATCACTTATATACAATACTGTATGCACCTGTATATCTCATAGGAAAAAATAATGTCATCAACAATGCATCTCCATATACTGTATGCTATGGTATAATAACCCTGTTGAGCGCAGTTTCTGTTAGTGGTCCCATTTTCCAGTAATGTATACCGAGCGCTAATCGGGGTACTGCTGTACTGTCTAGCCTAAAAAATTTATTTTAAATTAAAAATTGGGGTCGTCTTATATGTCAGTACTTTATATAAATGATAGCGTGTTCCATACAGCATTCTGACGCTCTAATGTGATAGAATATTTTGCCTATAAATCTATTTGGCTTACCACAGAGTGTAAGGTGTTCCAGATGTTTACATTTCCAAGCCAACATGACCAAAGGGTCTGGGGATTCCTGGTCTTCATCTCGACCCTCAGTGAGCATCCCCCAACCACTGTGATCCAGGGAGTCTACCAGAGTCAGGTGACGCAGGGTTTCACTGTACCAGTTGCTCATTAGGCGCAGTGCTGCTACATTGATCTTAAAAGAAAATTAAATACTATGAGTGATTTTGTTGGGGGAGGGGGATACTAGAGAGTTTCATCATAATACTTATAAAATACTCTACATGTACTTAAGGTGTCATACTTATTGGTGAAACTCTCACTTCCAAAAAAGTTGGGCACAATAGAAGAGCCTCCACACCACTAGTACTACAAATCTCCTTTGACTACTTCATACCCTTTATTACCATTCCTGTTCCCTCTTTTGTGAATTATCTCGCCTTTCCTCCCGCAATGGAGACTGTATCCTTCTACCCAATCCACCTGTTACACAACCCAGAATTTATAGAACCACTTTACTATCTTATCACATGGTATCATCCTGATATACCCTTATCATCTCAGAGAACTTCTCTTTCAATTCCATCATTCTGGCCTCTTAAGATACTCCAAACATCCCCAGTCAATTTAATACACTCAACACTCCTAACTCAATACAGTGGACCCTCGCGCCAACGCGCTTTTGACTATACGAGTTTAAATATATGTGATAAAATAATTTGACCAACATGGAAAATTTGAATATAAGCGGCTTAACAATGCACTCCCTCCGCCTTCCTCCCTCTGCTCCGCTTTGTGCCAGTTGTAGATGCCTGCCAAGCAGCAGCCGCTCATCTCTAAGTCTCGCCTACGTGCTCATACCAACAACATTGTACTAAAACGGTTTGGGAACTTTTTGTGTTTTTGCGTTGCTTTGTGTGTTTGCCCTTGCAGTATGGCCCCTAAACGCAGAGGTGATGCTAGTGATGGTAGCACACCCAAGAAAAATAGAAAAGTGATGACATTAGCCGAGAGAATAAAGATTTTGGATTAATCTACGTGATGGAGCGTGTGTAGCAACGCTTGCCCGTGAGAATTCTGTACATGAATCCACCATACGCACAATTTGTAGATGTGACGACAAAATATGTGCATCTGCATCTCTTGGTACTAAGGTAGCTCAAGTGCCAAGGAAGGATCGGTACTTAGAAAAAATAGAAAAACTATTAAATGTTTGGATCAGTGGACAAGTGAATGAGAAAGGATCTGTTATTGATAGAGTAGCAATACATGAGGCAGCACATAGCTTGTATACTTATGTTGCGAAAGCTGAGGGTGGCAGGGAGTGATGTGATTGTGACTGATTTCCAAGCAAGCAAATGGTTATAAAATTATAAATGCTTTACATAATGTGAAGCTTCAGGAAGAGGCTGGATCAGCAGACAAAGAGATTGCAGAACACTTCAAGCATGTTGCTTGAATTGATAAAGGACAAAGGATATGCCCCGGAGCAAGTGTTTAACGCTGATAAGACTGGCCTTTTATAAATGTATGGGTAACCGAACCTACAGTACGAAGACCCAAAAAGTTGCTCCAGGGTTTAAAGCTTTCAAAGACAGGCTGATAATTGTTATTTTGTGGTAATGCAGTTGGTCATTTTAAGTGCAAACCCATGCTTGTGTACCCTTCGGAAAATCCCAAGGCATTAAAAGGTAATAATATGTTTCATTTGCCTGTTGTTTGGAAGTCCAATAAAAAGGCCTGGGTGACGAGGGTGCTCATAATGATTGGTTGCTGCATCATTTTGTGCATGAGGTCACAGAATATCTCACGAAGAAGAATTTTGACTCAAAGGTGTTGCTATTGTTGGAGTATGCCCTCAGGCCATGTTGCAGAAACACTTCAGTTAACGCATCCCAATGTGGAAGTTATGTTCTTGCCCCCCAATATCACTTCAATTCTGCAACCAATGGAATTCTGAAAGGCATTTAACATCAAAGACTGCCTTGTTATTATAAAAATGCCTTGGGATGAAGTGAAGCCTTCCACCATGAACACTTGCTGGCACCAACTTTGGCCTGAAATTTCACAATGTCAGGGGATTTCCGACAGTTGACAAGGAAATTGTATAAATTGTGAAACTTGCAAATGAAAATGGATGTGAGGGCTTTGATGACATGCAGAAAGAGGAGGTTGGTGAACTGTTGGACACGCATTTTCAAGAACCAACAAATGAGGAGCTTTAAGAGCTTATAGCAGATGACAGTAAAAGTGATGATGATGTTGAAATGGAACCCATAAAACCTAAATTAACAATTAAGGCGACCTCTTAATTCCTCCTGCAAGTAAATGAACTTTGTGACATGTGTTTAGGCATAGATCCAATAATGAAGAGAAGTTTTAAGTTCAAAAGGGCCCCTGATGATATATGTGTGCCATACAAAGAAATTTTAAAAGATTTGCATAGAAAAAGCAAAAAAACAGAAAATAACAGACTTCTTCCCAAGGCCACAGTCACCCCAACCATCAACATCACCTGCCGATCTGGAGCCTCAAGTCGATGATCCATCGGCTTAAGAAATAAAAATCATTCCAGTTTCATCACTGAAGTCTTCTTCATCAATCACCATCATCAGAAGGCATCACAACATCTACGATATCGTCATCATAGTTCCGTTACAATCACTTAACCATGGATCGGTGAGTACAGTATTATGAGTCTATAATACTTATGATTAATATTATTAATTGTTTATGGTATGTTAGTTCTACTATTGTCATATTTGTGCATTATGTAAATGTTTAAAAGGTATTAATTTCACGTGATAGGAGTCCATACGCGGCCACGATCCCGCCACCCAATTTTTCCCAAAAGTTAAGATAAGTTGGCCTAAGCAATTTTGCCTAGCTCACCATTTTCGAGGAAACTAACCCCCGTGTTGGGCGAGGGTTTACTGTATTCACAATTAGATATTTCAGGACATTTCAATAGAGTATTACCCCGTGCTTTACATGGTGGTTTCACTTTCCGCGATTTCTCATTTACTCATTTACGCGGTACCTTGCCAGAACCTGTACCGGACTTTCACTTTCCGGTGCATCTACTCATATACGCGGTGAAGTATAATTTTTTTTTATTATTTTTTTATTTAGCTCATAAAATTCATACAAATTACCCTGCCAGAATATAATTTACATTGCTGGAATTCTTACAATATGATGATCATTTTGAATATAAACATCATGGATTTTGCATTAGACATACAAATTTTATATCTAATGTAATAATTTGGTTTACACAAAGCAAATATTTTATCATTTGTGCAAAATATATGAAGTTTACATTCAAAATATTCCCTGACCTGCAAGGAATCTTGAAATGTCAATTATATTATCCTAACTTTAGTCTGAGGTATTATTTATTACTAAAAATGTAAATATACTATTTTCTCCCAATCGCTTCTCTGGTAGGGAGGGAAGGTGGGGGGTGGGGGGTAGGAAGGGAGGGAGGGCGGAGGTGGGGTATTTTGATTGACAGATAGTGTCCTTCACGAATACTTCTTTGTTTATTTACTGAAGATATTTGTTTTAGCTCATAAAATTCATACAAATTACCCTGCCAGAATATAATTTACATTGCTGGAATTCTTACAATATGATGATCATTTTGAATATAAACATCATGGATTTTGCATTAGATATTAAAATTTTAGATCTAATGTAATAATTTGGTTTACACAAAGCAAATATTTTATCTTTTGTGCAAAATCTATGAAGTTTACATTCAAAATATTCCCTGACCTGCAAGGAATCCAGAAATGTCAATTATATTATCCTAACTTTAGTCTGAGGTATTATTTATTACTAAAAGTTAAAATCTAGTTTTTTCTCCCAAACATTTCTCTGGTAGGGAGGGAAGGTGCGGGGTGGGGGGGAGGCAAGGTGGGGTACTTTGATTGACAGATAGTGTCGTGAAGAATATTTTTTTTTTATTACCTGAAGATATTTGTTTTAGCTCATAAAATTCATACAAATTACTCTGCCAGAATACAATTTACATTGCTGGAATTCTTACAATATGATGATCATTTTGAATATAAACATCTGGATTTTGCACTAGATATACAAATTTTAGACTAATGTAATAATTCTGCTTATACAAAGCAAATATTTTATCTTTTGCAAGGAATCCAGAAATTTCAATTATATTATCCTAACTTTAGTCTGAGGTATTATTTATTACCAAACGTTAAAATCTAGTGTTTTCACCCAAACATTTCTCAGAGAGGTAGGAGCTAGTGAGCTGGGAAGAGGGAGGGGGAGGGTAGATTTGAGTCCATTATTTGAATGGACATTAACCTGGCAACTGTATTTCTCTTAAATATTAATTGTGTGAGCATACCATCATAAAATTTAGATGTTATTTTTACTACAACATAGGTACTGTGTAGGGAAAAGTGGAGTTTGGAGGTCGGGCCAGTCTCTATTGGAATTAATCCCATATGTTCTGTTGTTCACTTTACGCGGTTTTCACTTTCCGCGGTACCCTGTGGGTTCAATTGACTGCGTAAATCGGGGTACTACTGTATTTAGTTTTCATCAAGAACAAATTCACAAGATTTAGTGATTTTGACATTGAAAAAAATCACATTATAGCGAAGTCGGGTTATTTTGTGATTGCTGCGTAAATTATTACCAATACAGGTTGTACCTCTCTAGTCCGGCAACCTCGGGACCTGACCGGTGCCGGACCATGGAAATTTCTGGACCATAGAAATTCACCTTTTTCCTGGACAGATAGTGACTTGCGCTTAAGTTAGCACCACTTTCACTGCTTCGTGGTCTCTTTGAAGACATATTGAAGGGTTAAATGTCGTACAGTAGCTTCTCAAATTTCGCGAGTTTTTAATTCACCATTTTTTATTTACACACAAAAAACAAACACTACATAATTTAAAATTTTGACGGCGGAAACTTGAATTTCGACGGGTTTGAACGGCTCGCCAACGTTCAGACGACGTGCACTGTCGTGTAAACAGTGTCATTTCTCTTATGTACAAAAGATTCATTATTGTTTATTACTGAATGTCTTTTTTATTGAATTAATGTTTGTGTGTGCAAAATGAGCAATACAATTCATTAATAATCGTAGAATATTAACACACGAGGAAATGAGACAGCATTGTTTTTAGATTGATAACAAAACCAGTGACTGAG